CAGGTGGTGGCGGTGGTGTGGCGTCGTCAAACAGTCTCACCAAGAACAAATTGCTAGATCGGGAGTGGGAGAAGGCTAAGAGAGATCGACGTGGTGTCTTGGCGAGGGAAAACGGAGTGCATGTGACGGCTTGATTGCATATTTCGCAAATCTGGTTAGCAGGTAGTTGTGTGGTGGAGGAGAAGGGTCGGGCAGCATGTAATCACAATTTTTTTGAAAAAAAATGAGAGAGAAGGAGAGAAGGGTAAAATTCTAACTATGATAATGCCTTAAAGCCCATGTAGCATTTATCATTGACCTATTCCTAATTAACAAAAATATATCATTGATTAAGTCCATAATAAAAATATGTCATTGATATATGACTAAATAGTAAAGTTTTTGTTGATCTTTGACTAAATTACCTTAAATTAAAGGGAACTTTAACGAAAAGCTCTCGGTACTGTTCACTTTAACGAAAAATCACATTTTAACACTAAAAAGTCAATCCTGGTACTATTCACTTTACCTTTTATTTTGTCCTTATTGTTAAAACTTAAAAAAATTTAAACCATTTTCATTAGTTTTTCTCAAATTAAAAGCCCATGTCGGAAAAGCAAACAATTAGGTCGTGTACATAAAAGGAAAATAATTATTATAATAGTTGTAATATCTGAAAAAGGTCATGCACGCACAAATCAAAGAAAAGCATCACCTTTGTTCCATCCCTTATCCTAATTAAGCAACAGGTTAATAACAATTAGGGCAAAACCTTACTTCAAGGAGAAGCATAAGCTTTGTCATGCCTACCATTAGTTATGGATAATCCACTCACCCTTTCCCTTGATGCAGGTCCAATGCTTTCAAGCAATCACCTTATGGAGGAAAAATACAAGCAAAATAGTATATCCTTTATCGTTCATATTGGCCACACTATGACATTATGGGTAATGTGTTATCTGTCCGGATTCAAAGTGTTTAGTCTGGTCCGTCTTTCTCATCTGACTTCTTATATCATACATAAATTCAATCACATCTCCTGTGTTAACGACAAGACTTCAATTCTTTTCATCCATTCTCTTGAATATACGTAAGCGAATAAACATTTTCGACCAATGTGCCTAAAAGTTTATTCATCAATTTTGAACAAACGATTTTATCTATACTAAGAGAGTGGGGGAGTGGGCTAAACCTCACAATAGGCTAGAAATAATGTGGTTCAAATTCGCCTTTGGAGAGAATCGAACCTAAGACTTCGCACTTACAAGTGAAGAGGAATACTAATATACCGTAGTACAAAGTGGCAGTTTAGCAAGTCAATTTTAACTTCCATATTTTTACATTGTTGTTAACCCTAATTAGGGATCCAATATGACCTTGCTTGAAGAACTAATATTTCCTTAAAATTTTGGATCGAGTTGAAGTGTGAAATCCCATATAGATACACATCATAAATTAATAAGTCACTAACCATTTGTCACTTAGTACTACGATCTAGTGGTATTCTTCTTTTCACTTGTAAGTGAGAGGTTTCAAGTTCGATTTTCATCAAAGGCGCAATTGAATCACATTATTGCTAATTGATTCTGAGACTTAGTTCACTCCTCACCTCTTTAGGGTAGATAATATCGTTTATTCAAATAAATAAAAAAGTGCTAACCTTTTCTTCACGTCATAACTATAATTAAATACGATGGAAATTGTTGTTATAGTACAAACCTACAAATTATGATGATTCGATAGGGAACGAAAATTAGGAATGCTTGACTTCTCCTTAAGGAATCGCATTTCTTTACATTAAAGTTGACCAAAACTCCCATTTACATTAACATATCGTATTTTTTTCTGACTATATGATAAAAAAGAGAAACATGATAAAGTAAAACGAATTTTTAGTTTTAAAAAATAAAATAACGACTTTTGAGTTACTAAAGACAAAATGAGATCAAAATCGACATTCAGAAGATGTAACTAAAAGTAAACCTAAAATGATTTATGAATTTAATTGAGATTCCATTTGGATGCACCCTCCTCAAAGCAAAACATTAGCATAATAATAAAAAAAATCTCATCTACCAAATCAATAACAAACATTATCTATACTTTATACCTTATTCAAACCCACAAGTAACAACAAATTCAATAAAGAAGTTCCACCGTTCATATTAGTTCCCCAACTATATAAAATAAACAAATTTTCGAATATCGTCATCATGTTAACAATTTGACAATGTATGGTAATTGGTCATTCAAGTCTGTGTGGATGAGATACTCGTAACGAATTGAGATGCTATCACAAGCATACACTCGACAGATAATATCAGAACATTCAATTGACTAAAAATTCCAAACACTATTCAAAGGTTGCTCCCACGCGTAATGGACAGTAAATTCTCCATGCTTTTCAAAGAGGCGAATGCTACCACCCATGCACACTCGATTGCCGCTTGCATAACACATTTGATTCGACATATGCTTTCCACTTTCATGTGGATCCTCAAAGTACACCCGACGACATTGCGGAATCGCTAGTCCTCGAAGTACACGTACTAAAAGCCCTAAGAAAAAAACCCTCGGAGACTGATTGGTGTGCCCATTGGGATAGGTGCGACCAATTAAAAAGGATTTGAATCGAGTTCGTTATTTGTTGTGTCAAATATAAGATGAATAAAACTAGAAATGAGGGTTATGAATTCATAATACGATGAGTTACTAATCTATTTCTATACACTGAATTACAAATATTGTTTTACAAAATCTAATATATTCTTAAAACCCAATCTTATCCGACAGGTCCTAAAATCTTGCAGAAGCATCCTACGTTTTTGTGTGGATAAAACACAAAGGACTTGTACTCATCAAATGGTCACATCAGGTGGCATTATCTCTCTTTCTTGAGAGTTTGTGATAAATGTAAATATTTAAGTCCTACCCACTAGGGCCACTACAGACTGATATTGTACGTAATTTGGTGGGACATATATGTCATTTCAGCAGTGTTTTTGTGGGTCCATTTTACCTGAATACCTACCTCTTTCCTCTTCAACCCACTTTTGTCGACATGCAAACTTATGGGCCTACCAGTACTAACGGGCTCTGGAATCTGGATCCATAGATCCGAACCCGATTTCTCTCAACGGTAATTGTGAGGATTCAAATTCTGTAAGGGGGGTAGTTGGTGATTTGGCAGTCAGCCGAATTAATCCAACGGCTATCACCACCACTTACTGCACACGTGTCGAAAGATTACAGAAAAGACATAACGTCCCTAATGCCGCGTGCCTTGCTAAAGAAAAAGGATCCAGCGAGTATCATTTTCTAAAGATTTCGTGATCGTGACCGTTTATAGTATATCGTACAATTAAAAATTATTTTAAAATTTAAAATTTAAAATTAAATATAAATAGTATCTAACAAATACTAACTGTACGATATACGATCACTATCATGAGATCTCTAGGATCTTTAGGAAAATGATCCGCTTGCTAACGACCCTACACAAACGGCTTTGTATAAATTAAAAGGAAAATTCCCTGCTTTCCCAAGTGAGAGTATCACCAAGTACTCAACGGTCATCGAATATGGACCCCACATCCTCCAACTTTGTTTTTTGGACCCCAAATTTTAGCTTTTTTTTTTTTTTTTCAATTTTCTCTATAGCTTTCACCATCACTGGTTGGTTGCCCAATCTTTTCAAAAATTTTACCATTTATAAATTTAAAGTATATGTAAATCTTAGGTGGAAGAACATTGGTCTATAATTTGATGTTTAATCAAAATTATAGATCATCAACCAAATTATGATGCTTCAGTTACAATTTACAGACCACTAGTTTCCGAAACAACGTATTTTTTTTAAGATGAAAGAGCATATCTAAAACAAAAAAGTAGTTGAAAACGAGAATATAACCTTTACCTTGTATACAATATTGAAAAAACAAAGTTGGAGGAAAAAAAATTTCAAAAAATAGGGTAGTATGAGGGAACAATTGTTTTATGGATTTCATTTTCGCAAATATCGAAGGGAGACACAAGCATCACTAATTCGCTATACGATCACTGTTTTGTTAAGCAACACCTTGGTCACATGGGCACAACGCACGTGTCTCCCATCCCGAAGTTAGCTTCGGGTCTATTTGTAGTACTATAATGTTGTATGTAAGTTATGCAAAAATGTGTAAAACGTATATTACAATTAGAAATTCCTTCTTAGTTGAATACTGAATAATTTTTTTTGAGGGTCCAAAAACTATTTTACCATTACTATAGGGGTACTTCCAGAAAATACTCCTAAAATGGACCACGTTAATTCAGGTTTACAAAAGGGCCTTTCTGTCATACAAGGCGCGCCAACCACCCCAATTTCAACCTGGAAGTTTGATGGACTAAACTGACGAATCTGCCCTAATGCATACCCAATCAAACTCTTATCTCCACCCGGAGGAGGACTTTTCAGTCAAAACAAGTTAAGAAAAAAAAAACCAGAAAACGGATTGTTTTTGAAACTCGGAGCACGCCACCAACGTAAGCAGAAATTTTTTATTGTGATCGGAATACAGATGATATACTACATGTTTTCATATAAATAGTGAAAAATTATATTTTTTAAGTTATTAACATTTCAATATACATATTCTACTATTTATATAGTAATATGTTGTGTACCACTTCGTATTTCGATCATATTGAAAAATCTCTCTAACGTGAAGGCGGTTTTGGGATTGAGAGCGCCCGTATCACGAGAGCCTCCAAAACAAGCACCGCACACCAGTAATATTAGCAAATCCCGAGGGTGTTTTCGACATAAAATGCGGAAACAAGTCGCCACGTAGCCACAAAACCAGTACGTGTCAGCACGAAACGGCGACAGCTTAACGAGCCCAGTTCGCGCTTACGACACGTACCCTCCCTCGACGGATTGAATGCTTTGCCACGAAGGATATCCACGTGGAGGATCGAAGTCTTAGTCAGCAGCTGCTCTTTTTATAGGTCACACCTTCTGCTCTTTTGCCTCCGTAACAACAAAAAACCATAAACAGAGGAAGCAGCTCTCATTTCGTTTTCACCTCTCTCTCTCTCTCTCTCTCTCTAGAAATTTCTAGGTTTTTCGCAGGCGAACGGGAACAGGTAGCGCCGGAAAATAGAGTTTCCGGCGGCCGATCGTCTCGGAATTGAGGATACCAGCAGCAGCATCATGACGTTCTCGTGCCGTTGCTTATCTCGGGAACCCTAACCGCATTTCCAGAGAAAATCCTACGCAAAAGCGACTTTTACCTGGCAGAGTTTTGAAGTTATTCCATACTTTGTTTGGCAAATTGGAGGCAGAAGAAATATATAATATTGGATATTAAAAGGTACTTGCTACTTGTTTTTCATCTCGCTCAGGAGCCTCGAATTTAGCTTTATCCGGATTATTTTTTTCCAATTTTTTTCTTGATTTCTGCTTCGTCGATCTCAGTTGCGAGAAGATGCTGTGGAGTTGTCAGTGAAGGTGTTTGATCGATGTATCGGCATTAGAACCCTCTGCCTTTTGCTTTCGGGGTTTGAATTTTGTAATTTCGGTTTTTTTTTTAAATGTAAAATTTTAACTCTTTGTTCTCGGATTTTGAACTTGATTGCGGAGAGAAAATTGATTAGTATAATAGGTAGAGAATTAGGATTAATTTTTTTGATTAAGCTTGAGAGGAAGCTTTAACCTTGTGGAAATGGAGGGACCATGTGAAGACGATCGGAGGTTCTGATTTCTTTTTTCTCGTGAACTTGATCACGCCGGTCATGCCTTTTTCAATGAAAATCCAACCGATCGATTTTCGCACGAGTCCTGAAGACCTGACTCGGTTCGAGGCGGTCAAGCCGGTGGTGGCGAAGTCCCGGCTCAAGCGGCTCTTCGAGCGGCCGTTTACGAACGTACTGAAAAACTCTGCAGCGGCAGAGAAGGCCGGCCTCGGAAGCGAGGAGCCGCATTTCAACAAGGAAGGCGTCGTCGGAGGCGGCAGCGGAGGATCGGCCGAGTTCGAGCCGAGTTCGATGTGCTTGACGAAGATGGTCCAGAATTTCATCGAGGACAGCACCGAGAAGCAATCATCGGCTGTGGCGCGGTGCAGTCGGAACCGCTGCAACTGCTTCAACGGCAACGACAGTTCGGACGACGAATCGGAGCTGTTTGGCGGTTTTGGCGACTCCAACGTGGCATCCTCTGCCGAAGCATGCGAGCTTCTCAAGGTAAATAAAGTATTTGATTCTCCGGAGTTTCAACAGCCAAAAAACGACTTCGTCTTGATACGAAAATGTTTATCCACAGGGTTTGGTTTCGTGCCAGAGCGTGAGCGAGAGGAACTTGCTAGCCGACGCGGTGAAGATCGTTGAGAAAAACAAGGCCTGCTGCAAGCGGAAAGACGACACCTGCAGAACGGTCGTTTCTGATAGTCTGTTAGCTCTCGGATACGACGCGTCGGTTTGCAAATCTCGTTGGGAAAAAGCTCCTTCCTATCCCGCCGGTACTTCTCTTTCCGCCTTCCAAATATATCGATCCATACGACGCCGTCTTGGAATTGTTGGAATTTATCAGGACTAACATTTACTGAATTTTTTAACAGGAGAATATGATTACGTTGACGTGATCGTCAAAGGAGAGAGACTGCTGATCGACGTCGATTTCAGATCGGAATTCGAGATCGCACGGCCGTCGAAGAGCTACAAGGCGATTCTCCAGACGCTTCCGTACATCTTCGTCGGGAAACCCGACCTGCTGTGGCGGATCATCGTGGTGGTGTCGGAGGCGGCTAAGCAAAGCTTGAAAAAGAAGGGGATGCACGTTCCGCCGTGGAGGAAAGCGGAGTACATCAAGGCCAAGTGGCTGTCTCCTCACAGTCGAGCCACGCCGGCGCCTTCCGATTCGACTCAGGCTCCGGTGGCTGGCGAGTTGGGACAGAGTCAGGGCGAGAACTCGCGGGAGGATGATGAGTTGGGCTGCGAGTCGGTGTTTGAGATGTCGGCGAGTTCTGGTGAGGAGGAAAATGCGGTGCTAGTGAAGGAATGGAAGCCGCCGGAGCTGAAGCCCAAGAGATCGTCAGTGACCGGATTAAAGATCGTGACTGGTTTGGCTTCCGTCATGGAAGATGAGCAGTAAAATTTTGATAATTTTTGGATTTTTCTTGTACTTTTACTTTTGACTGTTAGGTTAAGTGAAATATCGTATATGACCCTATAATGGTAGAGCATAACAACCGTTTGATCCCTTCCACGTTTTTGATGTAAGGGTCGGATGTACTAATAGCAATAAAATAATATTTTTACTAAATTATTTTGCCCTTTGCTTTTCTATTATCTAGGAAATTTTAATATTTTAATCTGCGAAAATAAGGAAAAGAGAAAAAGGTAAATATTTTATGGTTTATATTTTTCAGTGGCTTAATGATATTATTATTTCAAAACTCTTTGTCGAAACTCAATTGTTTATTGTCTTTTTTCTTGTTTTTAAAGGAGAAGGAGAAGATGGGCAACAAAATTCGATGATGAAAGACTGAAGAAAACTTGGTATATACTCGCGCTGTCTCGAGAATTGCGACGATCTCTTGGGCTTGTGTGATTTTGAATAAGTTGGTTAGAGTAGTATGTTCGTGTTTCAGTCAATGAGTTTTAATTTCCGTTGTAACTTGAAATTTCTGCTTGCTTGTAACTTTCGTTACATGAATCCAATTTTCATTGCGTTCGAAATAAGCCATCTTTTTCTCTATTTTCATTGTTTTGATGAGCAATTTTATCTTCTAAATTTCAGAATCTAGTGTGGTTCAATAATGTGGCATATGTTTACTTATATTCCCAATTTTTACCGTTGAATTTCTTGAATTGGTAGAGATGGAAATGTGCTTTAACAATCTGGTACTGATGGTGGATATGAAACCGGAAGTTTCATTTAAAAGTGTGGGGCGAGCTCTGGCCTGTCAGTTACTGACATAGTTGCGGCATCAATAAGTTTTAGAGCTGGCTTCTCTGTCCTCTCACTTCTTATACACTCTCATCCTCTCCTATTTTGTACGGTCAAGGTTAAGTCACGTCAATATTTTATATTGATTTTTTTATAAAGATAATAAGACAAAATAATAGTAGTATAAAATGTTGACGTGACTTAACCGTGACCGTGTAAATAGAAGGAGATAAGAGTGTATGGAAAGTGGGAGGGCAGAGAAACCAGCTCCATGAGTTTTATCTCCTTCGCTCATGAAAAGTCGACAAGAGATTTTGTCATATAACCGGTTTTATATCATTTCTGATCATCGAAAATCTTAGGTAGATTCGGAACTGAAAAAATGAATGATAAATAGGCCATATAAAGGAATGGGAAGGCTGGTATACACTCTCGAGTCAGTAAGACATGTTTGAAGCATGAACAATATATACTATTGAACCGGAACGCCTGATAGTTATGTACCATTCGACGTATTGACTCAAGTGACATTTTTCAGTTTAAAAAGAGTTGTTTATTCATAACATCACGAGATAGTATAAAATTCAAACATAAATTTTCACATCTTAAAACATACGCTAATGAAAAACTCGGCAAATGTCAACACGGCAATAAAACCAAAGAGTCGGTGGCGCCAACTTCGCTTGGAAAACGTCCTAACATCATCTTCAACCCTTAGCTTAAAACTTAAAATTTTTAGCTTAGAAAATTTAGTTTTTAACCTAGAAACAGTTTTTCTATCCCAACTCTTATGACCTAAAATTTTAGTTCTAGATTATTAAAGAATGAATTTAGGCTAATTTTTTTCTTAAAGTAAATTATGTAGATTATCCTAATTTAATTTTAAGAATATTTTAATCTAAAAATATTTAGATTCTGACAAATACTGAAAAATCACTAACCGACATCATAAAACTCGTTAATCACTATGATACATGCAAAATAATTTACCTACAAAATAAATAAATAATTTTTATTCAAGATTAATTAAATACCAATATTTTGCAATATATATATATATATATATAAAAGAATTTACCTACATGCAAAATAATTTACATGTCGATTGATTGCACACTCTATAATCATAACAAAATATGGCTAGTATATATGTATTATCACATGAAAAATAATTTACCTACAAAATAAATAAATGTTTTTAGCCAATTGATTCAAAATTAATTAATTACATATTATTTTACATAAAAATATAGATAAATTATTTGCAAGCATATATATAATTTTAACAAAATGTGCCTAATACATACATGCAAAATAATTTAGCTACAATGATTGTCAAACAAATAAAAGAAATGAAACATATGATGGTAAGAGAAGTATAAGGTAGATAATTTTATAATAATAAGGCACTTATTTCCCATAATTATGGTGGATAATTAAATTCATTAACATAATTAGAGTGTTGTGGCACAATTGTAAATAGTTTGAAAATAATAGGTATTTATTTGTTTACATGGCAGTCTACTTCAAATTTGGGTTTTATTTGGATGTTTAAAATGAGACGGGTATTTGTCAAGGAAATAAGTATTGCATGAGCTTATATCTAAGGGACCCTTAAAATTATACAATTTGGAAGAGAGAAATAGTAAGAAGACTCTTTCAAAAATGAAAATTTTCATGAATTTTTTGATACTTTATATCTATGGTATAATATTTTATAATGTTGATTTGAAAAATAACGTTAAACTGTGAGTTGACAAAGAATTCATGAAGAGCCTAACTTTGAGAGAGTCTTCTTCGCCTTTGTCGAGAGAAGATGTTAGACCTAATCAAAACAAATTTTTTTGTTATTCATTTGAGAAATGTTAAGGCGACTCTCTCAAAAGTGTAACTCTTCACGAACTCTCTGTTACTTCACAATTTCACATTAATTCTCGTGTCAACATTATAATACATTATCCAGTACTACACAGTGCTGTGATTGTTACAACGTACAATTCTCCTAAACCAACGTCCAATTGCTTGAGACCAAATACTAGGGCGACTCTCTCAAAAATGTAACTCTCTAGGAACTCTGTGTCACTTAACAATTTAACATCGTGTCAACGTTATAATACATTATCTAGTACTACGCAATGGTGTGACTGTTACGCTGCAAAATTCTCCTAAACCAACGTCCAACTGATTGAGAACAATGTTTTACTTTGTGAAAGGAATCCACCAACTTTAGTTAACTCAGTCGCAGATAAAATTTTGTTTTTGGTAGCTTGTCCTTGAAATATTGGGTAACTTGTGGGATTAAGCTTGGGACAAACTAATTTGGTGAACTTGCAAATAGCTGTGATTCTTTGCTTAATTTAAATCTTAGTCGCGTTTGAAACTCTCTTTTATCCAAAGTTTTCCCTTTCAAAGTTTCTCACACTTAACCACATGTGCTTTTACAGTTTAAGCTAAATTTTTTCAAACTTAGTTTTTGGGTCCAGATGTAACTGTCTCTGTTTAGCTGGAAAATGCTTTATGTTATATTTTATAGAGCTTGTTTGAATGTGCTTTTAAAATAATTGAAAGCGTTTTTGGTGAAAATATTTTTGGAACCAATCCTCAGTAAAAATGCAAGTAAATCCTGAAACTAAAACATTTAAAAATGTTTCTTTAAAGAAGTACATAACTGGTGCTTCTTGAAGAAAGCACTTAAAGTGCTTTTGGAACCAAAAAATACTTTCTCTAAAAACACTTTCAGCCTTTGAAAAAAAATCCAAACGAGTTCATAGATGACGATAATAATATATATTCGTAACAAATTTATTATGTAAGTGTCGATAGTGTAGTTGTGAATCTTGTGATGATGGAATTTTTTCCCCGTGTATACGTTGTGGAAGTGTATATATTTGCAAAAGTCACAAGTTCAATTTATGTTGTGGAACCTGAAATAGTTGTCGTTTTGTAACCACATTAAAGAATTATTGTCTGTTCAGGTATTTAGAATTATAGTCATTCGATACCCTTTCGATCAATGGCTGGTTCTGCCAGAGAACGCTGGAGTAGTGCTCAAACATAAATAAACAATGAAAAAAATTGAGGTTTTAGTATAAAAGTAATTGGTAATATGAGAAGTACTTTTTTATAAGTACATGCAATGTCTCTTCTTTCTTGATGTGGGCTTTATACACTCAACACGTTCCCTCATGTGTGACGACTTTCAAATCTAATACGTAGACAATATATATTAGGTAACATGAAGTATGTGTGGCCGTTGAATTTAACACATGTTCTAACACTATAAAAAAAATTAAAATTTCATCATAAAACGAATTAACAATATAAAAATAATCGAACTATTTTTTACCACATGCACTTTTTCATAACGTGGGATTGAAACTTTCAATAAATAAGCCAAGGTCTCTTTATATGAAGCAAGTTTCGAAAATTTTGAAATGCGGAATGGCTTTTGTATAAAGTAGTCGGTCCTCAGGTTCTGGTGGAGTGTTCAGAGGCTTTGGGATTCTACTATTTTAAGCTATCTCCAACCGAAGGATCTAGCGGGCCGAAAATAGTCTAAAAACTATTTTCAACCAAGGGTTAGGCCAGAGAGCTCGTGGGCTCCACAGAATCTGAAAGGGCCAAATGGCCAACCGGCTGGCCCAATCAAGCCAGCCCCGAGCTTGGCCATAAATTCTATCATTCATGTCGGATATAACCGACAGGAATTCTAGGCCAAATTTCAAATGCAACGGCTAACTGACATAAGCTAGCCGTTATTTTTGAATTGTTTTTTTTTTTTTTTTTTTACACAATTTTTTTCATATAACTTCTATTTTTTTCTATAACTTCCTATAACAAATTTGTTTTATATTTTTTCTAAATTATATTTTTTTCCTATAACTTCTATTTAACAAAATTTGTTTTATTTTTTTTTCTAAATTATATATATTTTTTCCTATAACTTATATTTTACAAAATTTGTTTCATATTTTTTTTAAATTCTATTTTTTCCAATGCTGACGTGACTTAACCATTAGATTTGAATTTAAGTTGTAGTTTTAAATAATAAATTATGTTTGGCCCTATGACCCTCGATTGGAGATGGAGGTAAATATGGCACTTTACTGTTCATTAAAATATTAATATCTTGAAGGGCCAGAGGGCTAAAACGAACCATCTGGCCAACGTTCGGTTGGAGATAGCCTTATAAGACAAATAAGGCCCTCTGCTAGTTGCAGTCTACTATGATTTTGTCCTCAACTTATAATTTTTAGGGTTGATTTGAGAATTGTTTTTAAATGGTTAAAAGTGATTTTGAAGATTTTTTTTTTTTTTTTTTTTGTGTTTAAAAGAGTTTTTAGTAAAAAGCATTTGTGATGTGTTTTTTTTGC